CAATATTAGAAAGTTTGCTGAAGTTACGGGACCTCTTTAAACTTAGTGAAATTAAAAACTAAAAAGACACCAGTTACTTTTTTTTTTTTTAATTATTTCACGCTTTTTTATTTTAAAAGCTGAAAACAGCTTTGTTTTTAAACGAGTTTTAAAAATTGTTTTAAAACATTGCATCATTTCCATTGTTTTATCTTCCAGTTTTTGTAGCAAATTTCAATATTTATAATTTTGAAATTCTAAAAAAATATTCTGATCTGATTTTTTGTGCACATGTAATGACAGTTAAAAATTAAAATAAAAAAAATGTGTCAAGTCCTCTAGTGCTTTTTCTTTACTCGTGTTTGTTTTGGTTTTGGAGTAATTAACTGTTAGTGTTTAAGTACAAATCCAAATTAGAAAAAAATAAATCTTTGTTTAACTGAAGTATTTTTATTTCATTTGTTTCTTGTTTTATTTCTTTCGTAGTTTCGTGCTGCAAAAATGATCTTAATAAAGTTTTCATTCACTTCTTAAGATTTTGACTTCTTAAGTGAGATAGCAAAAAGACTCTTTCAGTGCATTCCAGTATTTTTTTTTTTATTAACAAAAAAAAAAAATATAAGAAGAGACTTATTATTTATTGATTCATATATCTCTGGGCGGAAGCGTTTTAATTTAAATCTGATTGTATTAGTAGTGACTTTAGTGTATTTATGGCAAAGCCAATTTTATCTGATGAAGAATAAGAGAAGGGGGAGGAATATAGTGAAAATTGACTACTAGTAGTACGGGTGCTGGATACTTACTTTTTTTACTTACTAAAAATTACAGCCTGTGCGTGCATTGAGTGAGTATGAGCACCGGAGAAACTAAAAAGGCAAAGTTGGAAGTAGGTTAAAGTAAAGAGAACAGGAGGCGAAAACCCACCTGTAGATTGCTGTACACAAATCTTTCAGTATTATTGATTGATTGACTGAAAATATTTCAACCAAGAAAGTTTCTTCATTGCATCAGTAGTAGTAAATGAACACTTCCGTCGTCTCTTTTTTTTAGCTGATGATATTTCTTGTTTTTTACTTTTATAATTAAAATAAAAATACTTTTGTTAGTTTTTATGGTAATTTATTCAAGTCAAGTGTATTTATTATTTATTTATTTCACAAATGTATTTTTTGTCTTGTTTTAAACTAAATTTTGCATGTGAACACTTACAAACAAAAACTAAGTTTTTGTAGCTTATTTGTAAAAGTAAAAAACTAAAAGTTATTAAATATAAAAATTAAATTAGATGATTTTTTTAAGATAAAATTTGCTATTATTGCTTTTTTCCCACTTTTTTTGTTTTTTCGGCTTTTTATTTTTCTCACCATTCTAAATTTCGATTTTATTTTATTTTTTTTAAAAAAAAAAGCTGAATAAAAGTTCAATAATTTGTTATTTAAAAATCTACTGAAGGCTTAATAAGTTAATAATTACTATAATATTTTTTGTAAGTTTTTAAAACTTTTATATATTTTGGAATTTTGTTCTCGCCTCTAAGACGAGTTCGTAGTATAATTTTTAATTATTTTATAGCTATGAGCCTAAGTTTTCCAAATAAGTTTTCTGAAATAAAGCCCCTGTGAAAGTATGGTCGAACTCACTACAGTAGTAATTTATGGTGACTTTCAAACTCAAAGAAACCATTTCGGGAAACTTTAGAATCTAAAGCCACTAAAGAACAACTTTTCATTGGAGATTTGAATTTTTATTTCTTCTCTGTCTTGTTGCATTATGTTACATTTTTGTGACAATTTGAAATTTGAATGATATGATGTATTTAGCTAAGAAGTCGAAGGAATCATTTTTTTGCGCTTTTTCGAACTTTGGCGTTTCTTTGATCATTTTATTTTAATTTAGTTCATCTTTAGAAAAACGTGATTTTTTTTTTTTTTTTTTTTTTTTTAAACAATTTTCTGATTGTATGAGTTCCCCCCGATAATCTTTTCTTCATTCTCCCAAAAAAATGACATTTCTTTTTTTTTTCTTTTTCATAACAACCGGAAATATATTATCGGTCGCGTTTGGCACAAAATATTGCTTCCTGGCAGTGAAATATTACAAAACTGGGTTTTTGGGTTAATGTGTGCCATTACACAAAAAATTAGTGTTTATACAATTTTTCCACATGAAACTAGTTTGAAGTGTTGGTCTTCTCTTACACTTATGCGATGATAGTATAAAGTTTAAACCACTTTCATATTAAAAAAAAATGGCGTATGACTAATAAATGGGCATGTGAATCAAAATTTTGTTTAATATATATTTTTTTTTAACACCAAATAAGTACAGCAGCTGTTTTAAATTTCTGTTTTTCGAAAATGTGTGCAAAAGTTGTTTAATTTCATGAATTTTGCAGAATATCTTTTTTGGATATATTCTTATAAGCTATTTTTTTTTTAAATCCTTTCTGCTTTTTTTAAATAATAATTTTTATATGTATAAAAAAAGAATCAATTGGTCTCTACTCTAAGTTTTCAAAAAATGTAATGTACTTTAATTTATGTATTTTTAATTTAAATTTATTTTTGTTGATATTTTGTAATCTTCAGCGATAGTTAATTCTGATTTTTAGTAACCTTTCCCTACCATGCTTGAATTGATTTGTGTATTATTAATTTTCACAACTATTGACAAATACAAATTGTAGTGCTCCCATAAATTGATAAGGAAAGTTCTTTAACTCTTCATAAGCCATAAAAAACATGAATTTCGCAATTGTCGAAAATTGACACTTGTAAAAAGCTACACACTGATGTTTTTTTTTTTATAAGCTAATTTATTTGAGTTGAGTAATTTTACTTTTGGGACATTAAAGAAAGGTGAATCTTGTAACCAAACAAACAATAAAAAAAACAAAAATGAATAATGTGTGCTGCTAGTGTGCATAACAAAACTGTCTCGGAATTTTTTTTTTCTTAATGAAGTAAAATAAAAAGTAGTAAACTAGGAAAACATTTTTCTCTTTTGGGGTATTTAAATAGAACGGACAGTTCAAGACAAGTAAAGAAAGAGTCTAATTTTGGGAAGAGATTCTTTTTTAGTTTCAAGGATCAGTACTAGATTTTTAATCAATCAAGAGAACCTTCATTTTATATGCGTGCAAAAATTGTTAAATTTAATGTCAGAAAGTCCTTTTCTTCATTTTTCGTACAGTCTCTATTCTGCATGTTTAATTTTTTTTTTTTTTAAATTATATATGCATACCTCATTTGTCTTTCATGCAAGAAAAAAATGTCTACAAACTTGTAAAGGAAGGACCAATATAGTACTACTGGATATAAAAAAAAATCTCACAAATGAATAGAAAAAACGGAAAAAAAATTGAAGTTTATTCGATGATGTATAAAATTTTAAATTTAAGATCAAGTTTTAAAAAAATCATTAATTTTTTTTTTTTTTTTTAATTAAATTTAAATAATTGTATCCAAATTTTTTTAGAGAAGTTATATTGCGTATTTTTCATGAATTTTTTTACAAATAAAAAAAAATCAACCTTCAAAATCAAAAATATCGCATGGATCACTTTTTCAAAAAAAATCCATAAAATTAACTAACACGTTCAGCAGAATAAAAAGAAGTTATTAAACTAAAAAGTGTATTTGGAACTTAGCTTATTTTCCTCAAATTTTCCTTTTGAATGTAGCTGCTAGTTAAGTCGAACAATAACATCAAACAGACGAGCTTTTCTTGATGTTGGTACTGTAATTTTATCATTATAGCCTACCATACATCTCTGGAAAGGTCATTCAAAATTATCTTTTTTTCTTGTCATGAGATTTTACTTGAAATGGTTTAATTCTGAATTCTTGATGGGATTACTTACAACTGACTTGAAATATTTGATATATAAATTAAACCAGTAAAAAGTGTGAATCAAAATGATTAGTCAGTATTTAAAACAGGTATTGATTGCCACAAAGTTACTTCCTTCATACTAGGGAAATAAATCAAAAGAATATCAACATTTTAAAATGACCTTAAATTTCTACTAAAAAGTTTTCTTTATTAACTTTAATGATTTAATTTTAATTTCCAAAAGGAGTTATAAAAAAAAAATTGGCAACTGAAATTTTAAAATAATTTTTGCATGAGCCAAAGTGACTATACTGCAAACAATTGATATGAAAATTCTTTGCCTGCAAACATTTTTTAAATTTCAGAATTCAAGACCAACTTAACCTAACAATACTTATTGCCTAATCTAGTTTTTTTTTTTTATGATATAATTTTTAAAAGCAGATTTGTACATAAAAGGTTAACATTGAGTTAAGTTTTTTTTTTTTCCTTGATTTAATTTCTAAATCTTTAAAATCTAAATCCATAAACCTTAAGAGTAATGCATATTATTCTATTGAAGCAGCTCAGACTATGGCTAAACTTTAATCAGCAATAAACCTCTGTTTCCTTTTAATCTTTTCTTACACAAATTAAAATCCTGACAAAGATTTCAGTGAAATTAAGTAGAAAAAGATTTTTATTTAGTTTCTGATACTTGTAATCTATTAAAAATGTACAGCCATGAGACTAACAACTCCCTGCAATTCACATATTCAGGATTTGCAATTTACACAAGCTATGGTCTACTGGTAAACATTGTAGATAGGCCTGTATCAGCATGTACTAAATGGCTGTCACAGTAACCAACTTAAAATGTGTAGCTGACATCTATTGTACTATATTTGCTTGGTCATAATTTCTTATAAGAAAATTTCACATATTAATTTTTTTATAAAGTTTAATAAATATAAGTATATTTTTCATGACTAAAGACAGTTTTATAGAAAAATCTTTTTCCTTGTATTTATAATGTATGAATTCATTATATTCATTTTTACTAATCATTTTTTTTTTTTTTTTTTTTTTTTAATATTTCTATTTTCAGCTTCAGTCGGATGGAACTGGGCGAAACGTCCGCCATCTCTGAAGATAAAAAGTACACTGTTCAGGTAGTGACCAAGTTCACCTGCAAGTACTGCGCAATGCAGTTTGCCTCCCTGCGCGACATGCAGCTGCATGTGCTATCACACACACATGGCAAGACACTGCACAGTTGTACAGTATGCGGAAGATCATACACAACACCATCAAAACTTCAGCGTCATGTGCGTGTACACAGTGGGGAAAGGCCGTACATGTGTAATTTGTGCGGACGCCGCTTTACACGCTCAGACCACGTAAAGCAGCACATGAAGGTGCACCAGCCGCACAGGCAGAAGAACATGTGTCGCATTTGTGGTGTCCGTTTTGCACGATCCTCACTCCTTGGCAGCCATCTGCGACGGCACAGTATTCATATGATTCATGTATGTCGCCGATGTGGTGAAGGTTTCCAGGAGAACGAGGAACTTTTACTGCATCGGAAGTTGCACAAGATGAAAAGTAACTTGCGGCCCAATGGTCGTCGTCGGAGTCGGGGTGCTCCTGTAGACATGTCAGCATTAACAAGTGTTCCACCAGATGACATCAATCCAAAAATGCCATCAGAGGGTCGGTGGCTTGGTTGTGCAAGATTTTGCGTTCCACAGGTGGCAGCTAGCAACAGTAAAACAATCAGGATGTCAGCATCTGAAAATGAAGAGGATGACGAGGATGCGAATAAGAAAGACCAGGAATTTATCAAACAGGAAGTACAATATGCAGGCATGGATCAAGAGCAGGATCAACTTCCTGTCACAAGTGAAAACAGCAACTACAAAATGGCAATCTCTACCAGTTACTCTTTGGCAGGATCTGCAGTTAGCAACGAGCTGGGGAGGTTTTCTACAGATTCAGACAAAATATATATGCTTCCAAGTATGTCTGATGAAAATCAGGGGAAATCTCTACATATGTCTGAATCAGTTCCAAATAGATTTGGTATGCATCCTACAGAGCCCTCTTCTTGTCCCGAAATGCTTCAGAACTCTTTGTCATCTCCAGAAATCTCTCGCCAGACCCTATCCTCTCCAGAGATCTCTCAACAAAGGTTGCCCTCTCCAGAAGTATCTCGTGAAACATTGAGTGCACTTAAGGCTGTGATTAAGAGAGAACCTGGCTGTGCTAAAGATCAAGATTCCCGTTACACAATGAGTCTGCTTGCAAGGAATCCTGTGGCTGTGGCTCAATGTCACCCATTCATGAAATATTCTGAAGACCTGCAAAGACATGCTGAGTTAGAGCAAGGAGATGCTGTCACACCTCCAACATTGAATGGCAAAAGACTCAGCAAATGTGACCACTGTGGAATGTGGTTTGAAGATTTTGGAATCTATATGCTTCACAGCAGTCTTCATTCTGCTGATGAATCTGACCCTTTTACATGCAGAAAGTGTCTAAAGAAGCTGGGAAACCGTTTAGAATTCATGGCCCATCTTGTTTGGCACTTGGATCCTGAACTACAAATCTGAGATGTTGATTTTCTTTTTGTTTTTAAGTAAGGTATGTATGGTTGTTATTGTAAGATTCTAGTTTTATTTACAATTTCTTGTGTATCAAGTGATAGTCTTTGATGAATAATAACTATGTTTCTGTATAGATTAATGTGTTTGTATTATGTAGCAGATATAGTAGTGTTTATGACCTTCACATATTTATTACTTTCATTTATAATATGAAAAAATTAGTAGATGCAAAGCATAAAATTATCTCATCTATGTTGAACCAACTTGTATATAAAGAGATTTATTTATACTTGAAATGATCTTTAAATGTATGAAATACTTGTGTTTGGATAAGAATTTGCAGATTGATGCAGATTATTAGTCAGAATTTGATGTTGTTGTTTATTTTCTTTCACTATGCTTATTTTTGATACTGATATTGTTTTTATTGTTGCTATGTATTCTTTGTGTAGGAGTTTACATATCTTACCAGAAAAATTCCATCTTACTGAATGCTATTTTTTGCTCTAGTACAATTTTTATTTCCTCTTGAGAAAGGTTTAGCATTTATCTATTATGTACCTAATTTAATGTATTTGTTTTAACTACTATAGTAGCTTTTTTATGTAGAAATTAAAACTTCTTGCTGAAGAAAAAGCCAATATGTAATACATATGTATGTGTGCCTATTCACAAAGATAAATTCATTTAATGCCTGACTTTGTGAATTGGGGCTTTTTTTTTTTTTTTAATAATACGTAAACTTTCCTATACATGCTAACTTTTATAGAAGTATTAGCCATAAAGTGAATTAATAGCTGGCAATCCCCATTTCATGATTATTGCATTTTTTTTTGTTGGGTGGGGGTATCACAAATTCCATTTAGATAAGTAATTATAGTTTTGAGCATTTTATTATTTAAAAACTAACAAATCTATCTTGGTTTTATTTTTCTAAGTTAATTTTATAATCTTTATTAGGAAATAATTATTTCATCATTATTTTTTAAATTCAGCTTTTAAATCTTCAACATTACTTTTGTAAATGCTCTTATTTACTTTTGTATGTGACTATTCAGACCAGAATTTCAAGTTCATAACAAAAATGACAAAAAGAATCTGCAAGACAGACAGTTTTGCCTAGCAGCCTCATTTTTTTTTTTCACTGTGAGAATGAAGATAAAAATATCAGTTTGGATCATTGGATTTAAATCAGGTTGATTTTTCAATTTTTGCTGCTTGTGTATGACAAGCATGATTTTGGCAAATGGATGACTGAGTCGTTTTTTTTTTCTTCTAATGATAGTGTAATTGGGTATGAAATTAGAATTTGAACTTGTTGCTACATTATGGTGAGATTGCCATCAAAATTGATGGTGGATTTAAAGTTAGTTGGAGGCAGTCATTACTTGTCTAAACCTAACTCTTCTTGTTTGTAGATAAATCTTTGTAACATTGTTTTCATGGCAATAGACAACTAATGTTAATTTGTTACAGTGGTGTTGATACTGGCTGTACGGATGGTAGTGTTAGTTACCAGTTGATTTAAATAGTTTGCTGTAAGCCTTATTATGCATTAGTTTTGCTCTTGGTCAGTCTCCTTGAGATTTTCACAATTTCTTTTGGAATTTCGTAAAAATGTAAAGAAATTTGTAAAGTATACATATTCTAGATGCTTACAATTGTTCGCTCGGTAAATGAATAATTGTTGTTATAAGTTTTAAATTATGGTGTTTAATGTATTTCTTACTATGATTTCTTTTTAAAATTCTTTGGTAAAATTCAGTTTTATTTGCCTTTTTTATTTGTTTTTGAAATTAAAACTTGAAAGGGATATTTTAATTTTAAATGTTGCTACTTACTGCAAGTTTCTATATAAATTATTTTAAAAAAGAATTGTTTCAGTTAAAACTTTAGCTTAAAATCATTACTAACTGATTTGTTTAATTTATCAATAATTCATATATTACCATGAGTTTTTAAAAATTAAAATGATTGATTACAACCTCAGAAGATGTGTACAAAATCAGAAATACAGTTATCTAAAATAAATAGCAGGGAAACTAACATTATTCTAAATTTTTATCATTTCAGCTTAAATATCAAAGGAATGAATATTATAGAAAAACCACATCATTTTATGATTTTGATAGCATAAAAATTATAATGTATTTTGAGTTTTGATAAACAGATTGAAAATTAAGTCAATAAGAATTTCAATTAAGATTATACAATCATTAACATTTGTAAAAATATTTAGATGATTATTTTTTTTGAATAGATATTTTTTAATTACATCCATGTATGTTTAATTTCTACTTGACTTTAACCATTTTAAATAAAATGTAATTATAATGAATATGGTCTTAACACTGGAAAACTAAATTTTGTTTTGCATTTTTCTTTTTCAGACTCACACACAAAAAGGCTTTAATAAGTTTGCTGAAATAGGGTGTCCAGAATTGCAAAATGGCCAACTGTCTGGGGTCAGTCATTTTTAACCCCCTCTTTAAGAGCAGTCCTGGTGTGCGCACACACATACACACATACATACACAGAGGTCTACATGAAGTTCTATTTATACAGAGATTGGTTGAGGATCCAGTGTGCAATCAGCAATGTCTGCATCCAAATGTATTTAGTTATTTATTCCTGCTATGTTTGATACATGGGTCAATGTTGAAGTGGAGAATTTCTCTATTTATACAGCTGAGTATTGCTGAACTTCATCACTTGCTCAGCATGAAGTCACAGTTAAATATATGATTAATGCCAAATCATCCTACTCCAGTCTTTCAGAATCAAGATTATATTAAAACATTCAGAAGGAAAAAAAAAAAAAAATGAACTGTTGTTTTTTTATGTAACATGAGGGTCATTCTGTAATTTTTTTTTCTCTTCTGTTGAGATGACATTTCTTTAAAGGTATTTGGTGTGAAAGAGAATTGGAAATATTCACTGTGGCCTGCTTGTGCCTACAGACAATCCAGTTGCATCATTGTTGTTTTGGTATAGATTGTTGTTATTTTTAATATTGTTATGTTGGTCTACATTCATTTTTTTAATGTGAATGTATTGATATGGAGGGTCACAAACTGCTGTTCAATGTCACCATGACAACTATAGGCTGACTGGAATGTTTGTAAGCAAAGTACTTAGGACAAGGCCCAGTTGACCCCCCCAAAACAGGTATTTTGATGAGGTGGGTTTTGTGTATGAATATTCATTGCTATGGATATTATGCTTCTGAAGACAAAATTGCATTAAAATTTTGTAACTGTTTTTAATATTACAATTTTGTAAATGTTAGATATTTCATCCATATCTTTGCAAAAATTTGTTTATCAAAAAAAATTAAAATCCTCAAATTGTACATTCATGAAAGTAAGTTAAAATCTTGTAAAAGTATAAAACAGATATGTTTTTTTACTTTTCAAGAATGAACAGAACTGACACTTTTTTTTATCTAGTTCCTGTTAATTTTAAGGTACTGATATCCATGAAAGGTTTTTAATATGATATGCATTTTTATATTCCTGTCTAAAAATCCTCTAGAAATATTTGCATATTTTAAAAACTGAATATATCATAAATTAACATTTGATAAAAAATAAATTCTTTTAAAGACAGTTTGAAACAAGAATATATCCATCATGTTTCTTTTGTAATGCAATTCAATGCATGCAAGATTAACATTTTATTCAAATAGTGTTTGTTAATATATTATTGTCTTTTTCTAATGATTTCTGTGTTGTTTCTAAGTGAGCTTAATATGTCTGTCTGTGTTCTGGTAGGTCTGGCTGGTCATGTTTATAGGCTTGAGATTGACTATAGAACCAACTCCTTGTCAAACAAGCACACAATTCTTTACTTACAAATGAACGCGCACACACTTTCTCTAGCATGTGTTGAGCATGACCGAAAACTCCTTTTTGGGAGGAAATAAAGGCAGGGTAAAATGCTCCAACACACAGTTTTATGCAGGTCCTGAAAGAAAATGATTGTAACTAGTTTCTATGCCCACAAAAGAAAAGCATATTATGAAGTTAAAAAAAATCATGGATGGGTTTCTATAAGCTAAACTAATATTTACGTTTCATAAAAGGTAAAGCAATTGTGGCTTAAAATAATTTGATCTAATATAAACATTCCAAATATCGAAATTAAATTTTAATATCCATTTTCTAAGAAATAAATTGTTTAGCTTCTTTAAACATTATTTTTACTGTCAATCTAAATAGATTGTATTCTCAACGATTTTACTTAAGAATACTAAAGGTTTATTTTAATCATTTTTAATGATTTTTTAGTACAAAGTATAATCATAATTAGAATTCTGCAATTTTGTCAAGATTTATATAGTATCAGTAATTAGCTACAGTGAATATTTCCTTAATATCTATTAGTCATCTCTTTTATGAATATAATCACTAGAGGTGACAGTTGTCACATGTATATAGGGAATTGTATTTCAGTTTTTGTTTTAATTTTTTTAATGAAACATTTGACCACTATGTGACATCAGAATGTAAAAGCTGATCCTCTCTCATAAGCTGATTGCTATATTTTTATGTCACTGATACATGATAAAAATACTTATCAAAACTTATTTCAGAAGCCTGGACGACAGAGGTTAAAAAGATTTTAATATTTTGGTTCATTTTAAAATAGCCATTGATATTATGCAGTATTATGCAACAAGAAAGGATGATAAATTAAGTTCCTTGTTTGGTTTTTATTAGTGATTTTATAAATTTATGTACATTTTTAAAATTGTCAAGCTACAATATTTAGAAAAGATTTATTTAATAATTGAAGTAAGTTTTCCATTACTGATATAATCCCGCACTAAAAATGGTTACCTACACACACATACACACACATATATACCTTTTTTAAGGTTACTTAGTGGTTAATCTTTTAATCTCGTAAAATCTTGTTTCTCTGTTTAAATAATTGATTGCTTAAATATTTAAAAATATTTTTCTCAATTTATTAGTAATCTTAAATATTATGAAAAGACTGATAGAGAGTAAAACATTTTTTCATTTAATAAAATTGGTTGGCAGTAATGTCACTCTTTTAGTAAAAAAAATCCATGGTTCTTGTACAAATCATATCAATTATATAGCGAAAGATATTAGTAATTTTTCAAGATGCAGAGTAATCCTCTGGAATGTCTTACTCATTGCCCACTGTTATTAGTACATTTTTATGTGCTTGCTAAACTGTGATATCTAGAAAGATAGACAATTCACTAATTAAAAAAAATAGTTAATATTTAACAGTTCAAAGATTTTTGCTACTTATTTATGCAAAATATGTATGAAGACTTTTGTGATAGAAAAAGGAATTCATGGGCTTAGTTTCCCTTGTAATAAAAATTTCTTCAAATTCCTTTGAATACTTGTAAAGTATTATCTTTTAATTATAAAATTTAAATTTAGTATTTATTTAGTTATTTATTATCTCTTTGGAATAAGATGACTAACTCGACGGGCAATAATTTTTGCTATAACATTTATCTGTTGTTATCTGTTAGAATTACTTTCAATAATTTATTCTCGTTCTAAAAATATTTCTTTTGTTTATTTTTAAATATATCATTATGTATTCTTTGTTTTTTACATGCCACAAATTCTCTAAATTGTTGCATTTTGTTTGATGTTCTGCCATTGCTAAATTTCCTGGAAGTTCAAAGTTCAATACAAAGGGAAAGTGTAATGGGCTTTACTGCACTGAACTTTTTGCTAGGTGGCTTGTTGATGTCCACAATTTCTAGTCAGCCATTGTGTGGCAATATGAAAGTTCACTATGAAATGATAACCAAAATGTACATTTCTTTCCTCTCTAATTCAGGCTGCTTTGAAATGATTGGTTATTTCCCAAATCTCCTAATTACTAACAACTTTTGAGAGAGGTTAACAAAATAATTGCAAATTGTATATAAGCTTGAAAACCATTTTCTTCTCCTTATTTGACTGCTGAAAAGTTTCTTTCAGTAACTGACAGATTTTAAAGAAATTTTATATTTACATTATGAGCCTGATATTTTCCATTTAAAGTTTGAAAAACATCAAGGTTCATAAATACTAAAGAATACTTTAGATTTTATTCCATTATTTTTTTGTCATGAAAGAAATATATCATCAAATAAGTGATACAGATTTTTCAATTAGAAAATATATTTGACTGAAGAAAAAACACTTGGGCTTCAATCTGATTTGAAGAGCATTGTGATATCTGTTAATATATATAAGCAGTTATTCTTTGTGTTTTTTCATGACACTGAACAGATGATTGTGTCAAAGCCAACCTTGTGTTATACTTGACTTTTTATTATCTTTACTGATTGAAGTAAAGTATTTAATTCTGCAGCAATACAAATGAAGAAAAATCTGCAAATGGAAAAAACAAAAAGTTTGTGATACAAATTAGGAAAGCACTTGATACATAAATTCAGAGATTTTATTCTGCTTATCTTGCCAATCAGTTGACTGCAATGCAAGTGCATTATTTTCCAGGCCATAGCATTGGTAATGTCACATTGATTGACATTGTAAACTAATACAAGATGATTAATTGGTGTTGAATATGTATTATTTATGTTCAGATTCTTGCTTCAACATGTATATCTGTTTATATATTTGATTTGTAAGAACTAATTTCCCAATCTGGGGGATTTTTTTTCCAATGGGGAATTAAAAGTATGAATTTAATGATTATAAGTCAAAAAAACAACAAAAAAAACCTTTATCAATTATTTCATTGTAAAATGTTACTGCTGCAGTTGTTTCTTTATTTGCTTTGTTGAATCTTTAATGCTTTACATTAAAATGTTGAGTATTCATAGTTTAATGCGTCTGTTATCTTCTGATATTTATTGCTTTGTTTTTTTTTTATGTTAATCAGAATGGGAAGCCACCCAGAATGAATACATGTAATGTTTTACATTGGAGGACAATTTAAAATTTGAATGATTTTTTTTTTTTTTAATTTTTAAATCTAATCAAAACAATCCCAGGAATGAAATGAACATTCTTTTTCTCCAGGTTTTGTTTGCAAATATATTGTAAATTCTAAATTTCTTGGTAATAAACTAATCTTTTTCCTTTAACAACTACTAAGGAAAGAGTATCGTATGATATGTACATTTTTTTTCCTGGTGGTTTGTCAAGGTTGGTTTGATTGAAATATATTTCAACCAAAAGAATTGTCCTTGAGTGAAAAAAGTGGTTCTTCTCTTCAAAAACTTTTTGTTTTAATCTGAATGCTGGTTTTAATTTAATATTGTGTATCTAGAAAAATGTTTTGTCTTGAATCTTAATATTGTATTTTTTTTGTTAATCTTTGTTATGTATCGTAGGTATGGAAGGTTGATAAGATTTTGTGATTGAAATTTTTTTTTTTTTCCCATGCACCTATGCTACAAATCATGACTTTTAATTTATTTGTTTACCTTCAAGAAAATTATTTTTTTAATGAG